GACAATGTGGTCATAAGTTTAATGAGAAGACTCTTGCTAAAGACTCTATCGAATTCCTGAACGAAATTCCAGAATATACGGATGCATATAGTTTTCGTTCTGAAGCTCTAGAAATGTTTGATTGATTTGTCTTTTTGAGTTTAATTTTTATAAAATATAAACTAATATTTTAGCACATAATTTTAAGTAATGAAACAAGGATTAAAGAGAATAGAAAATTTATAAAGTGAGTAAAATAATTATGTTTCATAGTCATTAACTAAGCCTCTGAAACCAGCAATGGAGGCCTAAGTTTTAGTTGAAATTTAGCTGTTGGTAGAATGTGGTTTAGTTGGTTTTGGGCTTCAGGGGTTACAGACTTGAAAGCTATAAACTGATTGGAATAGGATTTAAACCTTTATTTGAAGCAAAAGACATTATTTCAAAAGCTTCAATAATTATTTATATTTTATTAATATGCTTATCCATTTGAACATGGTTTAAATAATTTGTAGATATTTTATAAAAATTTATATTACTTTAAATATTTTGTAAATAGTTTCATTTGTTTTGAAATGTACATATTGTTGTTACATATTTTACTTATTGAATGTAACAAATCTTATGCCTAAAAGTACTAACTTATATTTATAAAATAATTCAAAACATAAAATTAAAATATTTAGTCACTTGCTTAGGTCAATGCTACTTGCACTGGTCTGTCAGATTTCCATTATCTTTAAATAATTACTAGAATTTATGTGATATTTTTACGTGCCAAGAATTCCTTTCACTCTCCAGTCAGAATCCAGTCACTCTTATCTGTGACATGCTTGTACCAGGAATGAAAAGATACTAAAATTATTAATACTCTCATTAAGAATATTATGAAGTTATATTATAATATAATATAATGAAGTTTGTTAATTTATTTAACATTTTTTTTCAAACATTGAGCTTAAGACAAGAAATATAATATTCACTTTTTTCAAGTCTTTTGAAATTAAAACTTTGACAGGAATAATTTTGATTCAGTGAACATAGTGTGTGAATGAGTTACTTTATCAGGATTTCTGTGCGTCTTTCATTGTGACAAAATGTAATATTAGTTAATAAAGTAAAGTGAATTGAAAAAAAAAAAAACAGACATAAATCGAACGCTTACACTTACTTCATGTGGTTATTGGTTGTTGATGTTTATAAAAAATGTGTTTTTCATTTTTATTATAAAATTGATCTTTTTTTCTGAATACTTAACTGAAATGTCTAGTTTGTTCACATAGTAATAAAACATCTACTACGTTGTTATACACCGAAGATCCATGAATTATTGAAATATATATCAATAAATAAAAATAAGTCTAAACTATTTATTTATTGACTACTAGAACATTATGTCACTTGGACATTAGTTATATCAACAGTCACACTAAATATACAAAAAAATATAAAATAAACAGGATCAAAATAACAAATAAATGATAAAAAAAAATTATGTACAGTAAATAAAATAAAATAACTTAAAAATAAGGAAATTAAAACACTATTTACAATCAGGCGAGGGAACTTCAAGGCAGGCTTGTCCCTCCAACTATGGAGAAAAAAGCAGGACTCTAGGAGAACTCTGCGATACTCAGTCAATCCCATCACTGGTACTAAAGTCAGTGGAGGTAAAAATAAATAAATGGAGTCAGGGTAGTGAAAACACATTTAAATATATTGAATATAAAGTATTGATATGACAATATCTGAGCCCAAGCACAGATGGAATCATCTCGCCGATAATCCGCTTAGAGGTGCCTAAAAATAAAACTGTCTATTTCAATGATCAATAAAACGAGCCCGATCACTCTAAAATTTAAAAGATGGATGTTGTCCCCTATTCTTCTGGAAGTACAAATATTTCACCAATAGAAAAAAAAATGGGTACCAATAAATTTAGTAGTGATCCTCCTTTTTAGGAAGTGGGGATAAGATTAAATTAAGAGTTTTTTGGAAATCAACGAGGGAGAGTTCGTTGAAGAAGGGGTTCAACTCCATTGGGGTATGCAGATAAAGGCGCCCATAAGAGGAATCGGAAACAGGGCCTAGCAAAGAACTTCCTTCTGGATCACTGAGGAGATAGAGGAGGCAGTTTAGAAGATTCATCAAGTAGACGGCGGCAGCAGAGACCACAGTGAAGTAGTAAAGACTACCACATTCTTTAACCAGCTAATGTTAATATTCATTTAGATCCTACTCACTAGTGTTGCCCAAAATCGGTCTTGGTCTTGCACTTTGCAAGACCAAGACCAAGGCCTCCTAACTGTTGCAAGACCAAGACCAGGACTGAAAAAAAAATAGATTTTTTGAATAAAAATAATTGCAAAATAGTTACTAATACTTGACAATATATTAGTTACTATATATTAATAATTGGTATAACCAATATACTTTTGCATTTAACCCCTCTAATGTTTCATTTGGGCTTAGTTAGGTTTCTCCTATCTAAAAAATTACGGTAATATCTCTATAATAGTAAGCTAACAAGTAACTGCAAGACTTTTGTGAGAGTCTTGCGCAAGACCAAGACCACGACCAAGACTGAGTTTGCAAGACCAAGACTCGTCTTGGTCTCGCATTTGGGCAACACTACTACTCACATGTATGCATTTACATAAATGTGTTGACAATATTTAATGTAATAAGAGAATCAATCGTGGTTAAGCAAATTAATGGTGCCCACATCGTCAATGAAAAATTCTAGATGAATTCATAAAGTTGAAGAGTCGAAAATAGACGTTTTTAGATTATAATTAGATTTTTATCAGTTTTCTTTATGCCACCAGTGGATTTTTTACAGTAATATATAATAAGTGGATTGGTAACACGATACCTGAAAAGAAATCTTATCAGAATTATAGGTTAATATAATATATCACAGCAGAGGATTTGTTGTACCTTGTCTTACGTATTCATATCAAATACATAATCAGTTTATTTTTAAATAAATCGGTTCTCTTCAGGAGCCGATAGAAATAGAAATATAATAAACACACATACATGCTTTTTCAGGTATCTCCATTCCAGAAACGTATAAATGTATTCAAGAAAGGACATAATATAACGACCACTACATAAAATCAAGGCAAATAGGTTAAATAATCACGGTACGCCTTGATAGAGAAGCAACTAAACTGCTTGACAGACCCGTATTGCTGGTTAATATATACAATGTTGATTCAGGAGCTTTTCCAATGCTTTATTTTCATGTATATGACTAAATGCTTATCATATATTGACATAATAAATAGCTGATTTCTAGATATGTTAAAAAATTGTTTACAAGTATGTAAAACATTTTGTTCAACATTAGTATTTCATTAACTGCTGGTGAGGAAACATATTGTCAATAATTAGAGGAATGATGTACTTCTAAAAAATATTATATTTTTGTCTACAAATGTAAGTTTTATCAGCATTTATGGAAAGTATTTTTATCATGTTGTACAGTATTTTCAAACAGTATCTTCAAAACTAGCAAGCAGTGTGAGTATCTATAAATAATGGCATGTAATAGATTAGTACAAAGCAGTCCCTCATCTCTGGCATTATTCTATTACCATGTTTAGTTGAAGAAGGGTATCACTTATTCATGGATTTTTTTTTAAACTATACCTTGTATTTATGGCCATGTCAGCGATAGCAAAATTTCCCATTGGTCTTTTGGCATGTCCTTATACATTTGAAAGAAATTGTTGGCAATGAGTTTTTAAGTATTGGTTGATTGTCAGTAAAAGGTAGATTTATATTCATCGTACAAAGATACTCATCTATGAGTCGTTAAATTTTTTATGAGTAAGTTTGAATTTTTCGTAAGTGGGTCTTTTTCACATTCAAGTGAGGAGTATCTCCACATGGGTTCAAGTGAATATTTTTATGTATTTAGTTTTATCTTATTGTTAGTATCAATTATGATTTTTTTAAAACTTTATTTGTCACAAATACTGAAAGACAGAAAGTGTGATGTCAGAAAGTAAAATTTGGAGTAAATCGTTGGTACGCGTGAGGGAGAAAAGTGCACAGCGTCATTTACTGTCTTCATTATAATATATGTGGTATGTAGAGGAGATCTCTCATCCAGCTTCTTTTGAGCCTCCCAAAGATATTATCGGGCATGTCGATTGTGATCATGTTTTGTCGTGATTTATGTTTTATGTGTTGGCATGTCCGTGTAAGCTATTGTGAAATTCTTTATATTGTATGTGATCGTATATACATGCATGTAATCCTTGTCTGTATGTGATCGTTGACTTTTGACGTGCGAAATTCTTTATGTAATGTTAATGACGTACCATGCAGCCTTGATCTTTTTGGCTGTTCCGTATATCTATGAAGCATAAGTCCAAATGGGCTTAAGTAAGTAACTCTGTGTACTTAATCTATGCTTATATGGACAATTTGAAAATGAAATGTTGCAAAAAATTTTGCCATATCCAATAAATCCATGGTCACATGTAAGTCTCTGATTTTATCAATGTCAGGATTTGTATTGTGAGCAATATTTAGGTCCAGTTTTTTTTTCCGAATGATTACAAACTTTGTCCCTATTTACTAGTCCTGTAATCAATGTAAAGAAGGAGGGCTGAAGTGAAATTAGAACTGGGCTATGATGTGAATAAAGAGCATCCAGAAATTTGACTGTGTATGCGAAAAGAAAATGTGTAAAGTGACAAACCGTGGCGATTTTTCTTTTTAGTTAAGCTGGTAAATACGTAGCGTTCATGGGAGAAAGGATTGAGAAACTATTGGAAGTTGAGAAAGAAGATAATATGTTTATACGAGAGTTGGATGTTCATCGATCCCTTCATTGGTGTTAGCATGGTGGTCTTCTTCAACCATGTAGAATTCTGTTGTGAGTGTACTCTGTAGTCGGAATAATCTGATAGTTTTCAAAGTAAAATGAATGGTAGGGTTTAATAAATTTAAATACAATAAGGTTTTTCTTACGATTTATTTATAAAAAATTATAATTAAAATGGCTATAACAAAATATAAATAGATGCGGCGAAGTCGAGGTGATCAGAGTGTTAGAAGTGACCATAGCTGCCATGCGCATGACCTCCTCCACTTCCGTAGCCACTTGCGCGGCTTACGAGGTTGGTGTTGGAAAAACTGGTAGCACTCCCCGCGTGGCCTGCGTACCTGCAACATATAAAACGGCTATTCTTTTCGGAAATGGTTTACCGCCGAAATGGAATACATCATTACCCTAAGAACTGGACCCCTCGGAAAGAACTTTTTTTTTTTATCAATATCAAAATTGGGAAGAATTAAGAAATATGGAATTGTTCAAATTCTTGGATCCATGCCCGCCGGATTCAAAAATAGTAATGTGATTTAGCGAAAAGTGTTTAAATTCACTAGATTCCTTCTTCGCCAATATATTTGACATTTTAATTACAATTAAATTGAAGGCATAAATTTCTACGTATTTTTCTGCTTTCGATACGAAACTATCTTGATCATGTAAAAAAAAAATCTTGAAATCAAGCTCAATCCTTATTTCATGACTGAGACAATAGTATTAACACGGCATGATTGTAAGGATTTGAGGCTATCCAAATTTTAAAGAGATTAAAATATGTTTTTTTTTTTTTAATATTAATGACATATTTGTTAGACCTATTTTCTAATTAATTAAAACATATTTTCCTAATAAATTAAAACCAGTCTATTACATGTTTTAACAATTATCATAATATAGTTTTCCTTTTTTTACACAGGATTCTTGAAGTTAATCATGGTATAAATAATTTTTAATTATTTATAACATATAAATAATGTAATAAATAATAATATAATATAAAAAATAAACGGCCTTCCTATATTTTTCACAGCCTACAATTCAAATATTCCATTTAATCCCGTCTCACTAGATCTCGTACCTCCGACCTCTATCCACCTCCCCACCGAACTGCAGCGTTTGAAAAATCCTTTATATTTCAAGCCGTCCCCTTCTGGAATACCATCCCTCCCGATATCCGACATGTACAATCAGTTTCTTCATTTAAATCTCTCCTTTTTAATCACCTACTCCTTTCCCAACCCGATTGATCATGAAATGTAGATAAGAGAACTTTTAAAGTTCCTCCAGAAATGATTTTATTTGCTTATGCTATCTTATTTTCCCACGTTTGTATTATACAGATCAGAATGTTTTTAGTGCAATAGTTCTATTTTTTGTTTTATTCTATTTTCAAAATCATAATCATAATAATAATTGTAAATAACTAATTTTATGTATGGCCACACAGGCATTTATTCTGTATCTGTAATTTGTCCTAAAGGGACAACAGTCCCAGGATAATAAAAAAATATTTTCATTTCATTTCATATAGGAACTCTTGAGCACGTTCTGTTGATCGGAGACGTGCAACTGGTTAATAGGTTAGCTTGTGATTCTTAATTGAGATCAATTAGTGTTTGTCGTATAGGTTTTTCCTTTTCATTAATTTCACTAATAAATTACACAATACATAATTATTTTTTTCAATCTAACGGTATTAATTGTTGATCAATTTTTAAAATAAGTACAACTTAAGTGCTAGTCTCTAATTATTTTGCTGTTACCAAATGTGAGTCTTTAATACATTTGTTCTTTAATTTTTATTGTGCGTTCTTTAATAGGTTTCTACAGTGACATGAGCTTGAAAATATGAATAGGACGAATTCCTTAAATAATGTTTGTCCCGATTTCAAAAGATGTGGGATCTATATATACATACGATTACATATGTATGAATTGTGAAGTATTTTCCCTAAGTTTAATAGGTAATAATTAGTTATTATATAAGTATTTAGTAGATATAGCAAGAACTACAGGATAAACCATACATAATTACTGAGCTTGCTACGTTACCCTCCGAAAGCTGCGTGACCAAGTCCTCCAAGTCCTCCGAAAAGACCAAGACCTCCATGACCACCGAGTCCTTCGTGACTTCCATGACCGCTACTTAATCCTCCATGACCACCGCTAAGTCCTCCATGACCACCACTGAGTCCTCCGTGGCTACCACCAAGTCCTCCATGACCACCACCAAGTCCTCCATGACCACCATCAACTCCTCCATGACCGCCATGTCCACCTAAGCCTGAGCTATGACCACCTTCGAAACTAGCGTGTCCAAGATTGAAGGTTCCATGACTGACAGCCACACCATGTCCTCCGTGGCCACCGAATCCACCATGACCTGCTCCAATGCCGAATTCTCCATGACTGAACCCTGCTCCATATCCTCCATGACCAAATCCGCCCGCGAAACCTCCGCTGTGGCCTAAGCCGTCACCGAAGCCTCCATGTCCAAATCCTCCAAATCCGTGCTCCTGACCACCGAATCCTCCATCGTGACCGAAACCTGCGTAGCCACCATGACCGCCAAGAGATCCTACTACGTGGCCTCCTCCGAGACCGTAGCTGCCGTGAGCATCTCCGAAACCTCCGTAACCATTGGGCGAAGCGTAACCATGAGATCCTCCATGGTATGAATGGGCGATGTCATAGGAAAATTTACTTTCTTCGGGTTTAGCTGTAATATAGGATAACATTAAATTTCTACAATATTTTTTATTTGAGATTATATATGATACATGTTTAAACATGTATTATTTAAATAATACATTATAAGTCGATGCACGCTAGTATGGTACATGTTTAAACATGTATTATTTAAATAATACATTATAAGTCGATGTACGCCAGTACATACTAGGAGTATTCTTGTAATTTGGGATAAGTACTTCGTGTGTTATGGTGCTGAAATGTTGGAATAAATCTAGAGTGAACGATCACTGATGCTGTCTTGCCAAAGTGTTAGCTGTCCAAAGTGTAGAAGTTAAAGCCAAAACTCTACTTGTTATCACTTGGCCTTCACTTGTTGATGCTAATTTTTAAAGACTTTTTTTATTTTAAAACTGTTTTGTATTGATATAAAAAAAAATAAAAAAAACATTATTCACTTCGAAAATATACATTTTACACATACACACACAAAAATACATTTTCTTTAGCTATGTAAACAAATCATTATCCTCTTTTGTCCAACGTTTTGCGGATTCCTTCAGCATTTTTTTACATACCATTCTAATTAAACAAAGTTAGTAAACAGAAGATGGAAACCCGCACAATTACGAAATAAAATAAAATAATTTAATGGGATTAATATTTTAAATCAGTTTGATTTGACTCCTAATCCCGTGAAATAAGTTAACATTTTTAAGGTGTATGAGATAATATGCATGACGCTGTTAGACGTATTTTAGTGGATAAAATACATATATTTAACAATCATATAAGTAATTTCTTTCCTCTTAAAAATACAGAATAAACACAAATTAAAATGTTACTCTACGAAATTAGAGGGAAACATGACTGTTGAGCGTTGGTAAATTACACTCTTTATAGGGCTATGAGACAATAATACCACGGTAACAGAGAGAGGTATTAATACACTATGGTTTGTTGACCGTGTACAAACACGACTGCAACGTCCGACATCATTGCCATGGATATTGCTTTAGCGAGTCCATTGGAATATATCAATAATAAATTAATGGCAGTAACCTGATCGAGTATTAATGGTTTTTGGTTATTTTCTCTCTATTATTCGCGAATTTATTATAAGGTTGAAAACTTCAGTAAATTACATCCTGAAACTTGCCGATTTCTTGTTATGGTTCATTGTTTTAAATAAGCAATATTTTGTAGCTGCTACCAGAGGAAGTAGTTTTCTGTTATGTAAACCAACTGTTTTGTTTCTTGTGTCAAAGATAGTTTGTAACAAGTAACGGAAAGGTGTTTCAATTAACTGAAAAAACAAAATCCATTATGAGGTAACGTTAACTTCCGTCAGTAGGATATGGTGTTTGATTGCCTCAAAAATTGTATTTCTTAGTGAGGTAAAGAATTGTTTCTTGGATTTTCCAATAACGTCAAACAGTTATATGAAAAAATGTTTTGACTAATTATTACTATCGTATCGATGTATCGTTTTTATTATATTTCGAATCTTTTCTTTTTATTGTTAAAAATTTAAGAAAAAATAAAACATTCTAAGTGTATGTTATAAGTTATGTCTCGTTATCATAATTATTTTATGATTATTATTTAATTATACATAAAGATTATCATACATAATTTATTAGGACATATCTTTATCATATACTATGCTTACTGTATTATTACTAATCATATAATAATATAATAAATATTATGTACTTCAATATTATTTATTAAACTTAACTCGATTTTCGTCAAATTTAATTATATATTGATTTGACTCATTTTAATAAGTTTTGTTGTTTTAATATTCCTTAGGTGTTTAATAACAGTTGCAAATTTTAGATACTCCAACTTACTTTTATTTTGTGCAAGAAATGCTTTGAGATGTAACTATAAATTTTAATCTTTTGGAATAAATTTATTTTAATCTTTTTTTTGGTTGTTATGTTGTTTTTATATATAGAAATATAGATTTACTTTTTCCTTCCCTCTCATTTTTTTTTACTATCGTTTACTTATAAAGAATATTGTATATTCAATTAGGCATTGCTTATGGAATATCCTAGATATTATATTAATCAAGATTATTAAGGTCAGATGAAAATAAATTAATACTACAATCCATAGATTTTGAGAATGATATTTAATAGTGAAGTATTATTTTATTAAGGAACAGCTAAAAAAAATGTATTATTACATACAGTCGCCAGATTTTTCAGTTTATTGATGGATTGTTCAGGGCCTCAGTAAGCGCGGTGTTAATAGTTAAGGGCTTATTGTTTTTTATTGAAACATTAATACTTTAAATATGTTCATGAATAATTCTTAAATGCATTAATTAATTAAAATGTAAATTTATAAGTTAAAAATTAAAAATAATGTTTAGAAATAATACTAGCTGCTTTGACATAAAACTTACCAACTGCCGTATGACTGGATCCACTGCCACCCGCACTCACTAAAGCTATACTGCAAGCAGCAGCTAAAATAAACTGTAATAAAAAATATATATTAGTAATACAATTAATATAGTTATGAAATTTACGAAATATATTATTACGATTAAATTAATACATGAGTTGTCTCCAAAATGAATCGTAATACTGTTTGACGAATTTTCAGGAACCGTGAAAATCTATATTGTCTATTTTCGTTGTAATATCTTTTAAAAAAAATAAGTTAAGGTTTTCATTACATAGACCATAGAGCACATAAAAAAAGTAAATATTTATTTTAGAAAATAATAGACTATTTTAATATCAATTAAAAAACGTTAAATGTTAAATCAGAATCGCTTAATAAACCAATTATATTTCGAGAGCTATTTAAGAAAAAAATAATAATTATGGTTCGGTTAGAAAAAAAATATGGTGTATGATTCGGAGAGAAAAATATTGTTAAAATTTAACTATAAATATTAGACCTTTTCTATACAATAATGCAACGACAATTTTTTTTTTTTTTAAATACGATTAAAAACAAAAGCTTTTGATGATATTTTTTTAAAGTATATGAACTGGTTTCAACACCACTTTTTTAATATTTAGGTCCTGTTTTGAAAAAAAAAATTGCTTTACAGGATTTATTGAGGGTTTTAAATTAAAATCGATACTTCTCGATTTAAAAAAAAAAATAGGGTTTACCTCAGAAATAAGTGATTCGCATATAAATTATATATAAGGTAAAAAAATTGGCTTCTTAACTTTTTTTTTAATTATCGTTCGAATTTTGTTATTTCGATCGGATAGTAGTAGCAATAAATCGAAATATCTTAAGTATTTTTTTTTTTTATACTTGGAGATAAAACATTAAATATTTTACATTTATTTGTAATCAAACATGATCCTGTTGAGAACGTGATCCTTGCGGAAATCGCGAGAGAACAAGAATTTGTTTACTTGTTCCGAAACAGTTAGGTTCAATTGAAGCTAACTATGCCATACCTCTCACCTGAATAGGGTAATTAATGGTCAGTGGAGGTTTGAATGCACGTGAGGAAGATGTTGCCACACGTGGGAGTTTCGTATAGTCATTTAACATCTATTCGCTGAGGTTACAAGAGCAATTCAGAGTATCCGCAATCCTAGAATTACGTGATTGAACTGCAAGGTACATAAATAATAGTAAAATTTAAAAAAAAAATCTATTTTGTTAATTTGTATTGCCGTTATTAGGCCCCGTCATTAGATGAATTACTCGCCAATAATCAACTCATACTTGAGGAACAAACGACAAAAAACTACGAGATGAGGAGCTTTAGAAAAGAAACCAACATTTTGTTTTTTGTTTCATACTCTTGCCTCAGTTAGGAAAAGGAGAATAAACTAGCGATTTTACTGCATAATTTTCATACTAAATGTATCTATAATAATACAAAATTCAGTTCTTAGTTATATTGTACTTCTTATTCCTTCACATGTTATGCGTTATCCAATGTAAAACATTTAATCAATGATGTACTGTGAGCAAAAAATTATTTAACTAAAAAATAGAGAGTTCAATAAATATTAAATTTTTAAACTGTATAATATTCAAAATTATAAAAAAAATAGTTTAATTAAGATTTAATGTTTTGTACTTTAAAAATGAACATAAAGTAAAACGTGGGATACAGTTATGCAATACAAAATAAATTATGTAAATTGAGATATTTGACTTATCTTATTTACTTTACTTAAAAAAAAAGTAAAATAAACGTTCAATAAATATTTTTTATCTTGGCCAATCATAAACAGTACTGAAAATTTTTATTAAAGAAAAATAATTCAATCTGCCACAATCTAGGACATTGAGCATTGTGGCTCTATGTTTGCATTCATACATCTTGTATACAATCTAAAATATAAATTGAGAAACAAATAAAATAAGAATAAAACATGTAAGAAAAAATATATACAAAGAAAAAAAGAAAAAAACGTATTTAAAAGAAAAAACTTGTAAAAATGAAAAAAAAGTACATTGAAAGAATAGGAAAGAAAGAAAAAATATACTTGTCACACATTCATTTCTATGTACAATATTTACAATCAGCCTAGGGAACTCTGAACCATGCCTTGCTGCTCTCACGCGAAAGTCAAGGCAGAGCTCAAAGAGATCCCAGCGCTTCTCTCCTACCAGCATCAAAGCCAGTGGAGACTGAATAAGAGCGCTAAAGCCACATACGGTCAAGACTTGAGTGGAGAAACTGGCAACTGCCAGAACTCCAATAGAATATTTATAATAGATCTCGAGGTCATTGACGTTTCAATCTCCGTGGGAAATTATATGGATGTTTGGAACTGGAAAGGGGTTGTGGTAAGGGATTAGAATGATGGATAACATTTTGAGGAAAGTTTGAGAATTTGGATGGGATTAAGTCGAGGTCAAAGGGGATGTTGAGATCATGATGATTGGTTTGTGACGTAAGAGGGAGCACTAACTACTGTTCGAAGGACTTAAGATTGAAAGGGTTGAATGAGTTTGATGTTTGAATGGCCAATCATTAACAAAATGTTACAGAATTATTCAGTCCTACTGCACAAGATATAATTTTGATTTTTATAAAATATTTAACTACAAATTCGTTGTAAAGGTATACTTAAACTAAGAGGATATGGTGGTCAAATAAGCTGGGACGAGGGTTCTATAGTGCCCAGTTTGAAACGTTGTTAATTTTATTATTATCTAGGTCAGTTATTATTTATTCCTTCGTGGTACAAGAAAATACATATTGGCGTTCTGGTAACTACGTACCAAGAAGCCGTCAGCGATTAGCTAAATGGATAAAAACCCACTTTCCGGACGAGTTGCCCTCACTAGTACCAGAATTTTAACAGAAGTGAGTCACAAAGCAGTAACTCAAAAATACAGAAATACCGAAAAAAAAAACTGATTTAGGGATCTCTTTTAACTTAACACGCTAACATTTAGGACAGTGGTTGATGAGAGTACAGACTTGTTCAAACCATAGGTGGTTTCTTATTTATAAACATATTCCAAATTCTTCAATATTTGGTTTTAATGTAATGTCCCGAATAACTTGAGGATTCGAAATAAAAATGTGAATAATAAACAAGTATTTTTATATTATATTTAGTTTAGCTATGTTTTCTGTAATATTTTTAACATTTCAGACATTTTAAGTAACACCTAATATTATATAATATGCATATGCCATTCGTTTATTGGGTGTTTCGTTATAATGTCCCGGGTTTTCAGTGGCCTTTCGCTATTACCGTTTATTCACACTCGATACATCGGGTACAGTATTGTTCAACTGACCTTTTTTTTTTATTTTATATTTCTTGTCCAGTCTGTCGCGGAGAAAACAGAATCTTATCATAAAAATAAGAAAGCGATGTTTCGGTTGGTTAGGATATGGCGCCGTTTATTTTTTCATATAAAGTTTGCTGAGTTCCTTTAAAAATCACAAAATCAATGCAGAACTGTATAATCACGAATACAAAAAGAATTGAGTATATCGACAAAAAATTGACATTACTTTCCGTTTAAAATACAGTTAGTAAAGAAGTGTATTTTATTTGATTGTCGCTTCAATATCTACTGAGTTCTGTGATGTACAACATATTTGGCAATAAATGTTCACACAAACTTTTGGCAAATATATATAATGCATATTCTATTATTTCCTAATTTAATCAGAAAATTAGACGACTTCCAATACCAGTTTCAATAGATACAGAACAATATCTATATTATATTATTTTTCATATATACTCCCTAGATATAATTTTTAAAAAATTAGGCAAATTCTTCAAATTTATCGAAATTCAGTACAATGAACTTAATGCAACAAGCAAATTAGAATAGCTTAATGTAAAATGTTTTGTTTTTCATTTAAAAAAATACTAATATATTGTCAAATAAAATACTAATATATTTTGAAATATAAGTATTTTTATCAATAAAATTAACAAAGGCCCTAAAAGTTTTTAATATTGAAATAAAATATGATGTAAAAGAATTAAAATGTAATCGAGCATCCAATAAAAAATCAGCTATAACGTGAATATGATTTAATTGTGAATTTTCTCATCAATATAACCAATAAAGAATCTTTATTTAATTTTAGTTATTATTTTATCGTTTTCTTGATTTCTATCATATATATTAAAAAATTCACATTTTTAAGATTATATATATGAATCAAAACATGACAAGAATTCTATTACAATCTTGAACATGTCAAAATAATGTTATATCATTTTTAGGCTAAATAGTGGTAAAAATATTTTTATTAAAAACCAATGTTTCCCAGTTCTACCCAGTTGTAAGTGAAACACTTTATAGCATTTTAATTGATTTGTAATAATGCCTTAAAAGTGAAGTTTGATATGGCTTCTTAATTTAACCATCTTTTAAAGTAATTTAAAGTATATTTATTTATTTTTAGTCGTAAAATGAAAATTTATGCAATACCGACTTTATATTCTTAAGGCTTAACACGTTAGATATTTGAAAGAAAGAAATAAAGGAAGTTCTTTTTGATGTTATTTTAAAAATAAAATTAGGTTTTATTTATAATATCACTTGGCAACCTACATTTTTTTTATTTAATAGGGTTGATTCAGTTGACAATTGATTATTCCATAAAATTAAAAAAAATGCATGGAGTATTCGTTTGCAAACATTACAGTCTTTTCGAATTACAATGCCACGCTTTTATGAATTACACGTAATTACGTATGAAAATTCGACTTAATTTGAAATGGGTTACATCATATGCCTTGTTTTCTTCCAGTTTTATGGTTTTAATATACTTGATGATCCGTGCTACAAGTCGGTCGATAATCAGCTATTAGTAATTTTTAATATATCTTTGGGCATTTAAACGATAAATTATTTTTGGTTCTGAATAAATGAAAATGTGAATGAGCTTATGATATTATTGTTAATATTTCTTGAGCAATCTGAAATCAGACTAAACATTGAACAGATGTGCCGTTTTTTCTTAGTAATTGCATTCCATGAAGTAACTCTTTCGAATTTTCCAAAGAAATGAAAATGAAACTGAGATCCAAATACATTAAAGCATTTTATATGTTTGATGGTATGATTAGTATTATTTTAATATATATATTTCATACCTCAGGTCATAATCTTGACAAACTACAAGTATAAAGTACTAAACGATATATTTATTATTTTTATTCTATAAGTTAATAAAGGTTTAAATTATTTAATGATAACATTAAATTTAATTATAGAAATAGAAAGACGCATTAAACACAATTTAATTTCCAATCAATAAATTAATTTCAATTCCTAAAAAAGCACTCTCGCTCAAACTCCACTAGCTTTAGTAGCACCAGTGGCGCGGTTGAGAGTAGCGCAGGGATCTCTTGGAGTCCTAATTTTCCTACTATAGTTGGAGGGAGAAGCCTGACTTGAGGTTCCATGCCTGTTTGTGTATGTTGTATATAGGTATAACTGTGTTTTTAATTTACTTATCTTTTTGTTATTTTATTTTTGTACATAGATTTTTTTATTATTATTTTACTTTTGTTAATTTTATATTTTCTGTATATATGGTGTGAATGTTTTCACATATCACTATAATTATTGTCTACGAGACAGATTATTATATGTCCAAATAAACAAATAAAAAAAAAAAGAACCTACACAAATTTTTATAACGTGTCTTTTTCAATGGAAGTTTTTATTTTTATTTTTATAACTTTGCAACTAGTAAAAGAATATTAATTTGCATTTCTTGTTCATATTCGTTTTAAAAAATCTACTGAAAATAATTTTTATCGAGCTTATATAAAATTCAATTAAAGGTTAAAGTAAATTAAGTTTATGAATTAATGAAGTTTATCTTTTGCTCACTTTTCTCCAAATAATAATTTAAAATTAGGCAATGACTAAATAACTACACATATTAGTTTAAACCTACAAAAACACACGACTCAAAGAATCAATGTTCAAAAAAAAGAAATACTTTCAAAAATTAAATTAAAAAATTTTAAGACTAATAACTTCAGCTTGGCAAGTAAAAAAAATTAAACTTCACGTTACGGCTAACGATATCTAACCAT